TCATGACATGGTACTTGACTTTGCTCGTTTCCTTATGGGAAATGAATTTGTGGTGCAAGAGGTTCATCCTGACGATATTATAAGGATAAAGCTTCCTCCAGAGAAAACTCACCATCTGTCGGTTGTACTGGCAGAAAATGCATGCCTTCCTACTTCACTTCTTGGTGCAGAAAAATTGCGGAGCTTATCCATCTTTAAGAGTGATCATGCAGAAGAAGATGAAACCAGTAACTTATTTATTCAACCAAAACATCTGCGTTCATTGATTCTCTGTGGTGGTAATATTAATGAATTTCCTGAAGAAGTAGGCAAATTGATGCATCTGAAACTGCTTGATTTGTCTCATGGTAGGTTAAAAAAGATTGCCTGAAGCAATATGCGGATTACTTAATTTGCAATCCTTGTTTCTACAACGGTGTTATTCTCTGGAGGGATTGCCGGATAAGATAGAGAAATTGGTCAACTTGAGGTGCCTGAATACAGCTGATAGTACTGCTTTAACTTACTATCCCAAAGGAATTGGGAGATTAACTTCCCTCAGAGAGTTGGGGACGATTGTAGTTTGCTGTGATCACAATGACAATGAAAAATTTAGCTTGGGGGATTTGGAAAACTTGTGCCACCTTCGTTTTCTGGCATTGAAAGTTAAAGATGGTCAGATTGATGCTAATGAAGCCAGACGTGCGAAGCTGCAAAGTAAGATACATCTCAAGGATTTAGTGTTAGATGATAGGTGGGCTTACGGAAAAGAGGATGAATTGGATAATTTTGTTAAAGTCTTAAACCCACCTTCGCACACAAACGTGAAATTTCCTCTTAATGAACTTATTGAAGATTTCAGGGCACAGGTCTTTGCGGCGGAGGACTTCCACGTAAGCCCTCAATCTATTGTTTCTAGCTAGTATTAATTAGAGGGGAAATGAACGGCTGTTTCTCCTCCCCAAATCACACGTATTAATGTCTGCATTTATTTTGCTGATGCAGCGTATGCCCACCATTCTCTATCTTGGTGAAAGCTGAAGCCGTTGAAAGTACTGCATGTATGTGATGTTCCTCTTTTTCTTTTTCTTTCTTTTTTCTTCTTTTTTTTTTTTCTTTTTTTTTTTAACAGGGAAGTCTTTTGTGTTTTACAGCTGTTTATCAGATTATTACCCTTATTGTATGTATTCTCCCTGTTTCTTTGGTGGATCAGTGAACAATTCAGAATTAGTAATCTTGTCATGGATACTTTATGATCAAATTCCTATAGTTTCTTTCTTTACAAAATCTTTTGTTGATAAATAAAACATAAATGACAACATATCCTGTTTTTGTTTTCATGACCATACAAATGCATTTGTACAAATTAGAAAAATCACATACAAATCTCT